TACGCTTCCGTAACTTCTTCGTCCGTTGGCTGGTTTCTATCACACTGAGCACAGTCAGTCACAGCGATATTGTCACTGAAAAGTACGTATCGTGGTAGAGAGGCCGTGGGAAAGGTGTTGAGCTCAACGCTACTTGTCCATAGTTCGTAACGGTGCTTTTGAGATTTGCAATACTTTCCGAGCTTTTTTTTTATTTAGTCTTCCGAATCTAGAACCACACTAAATTTTATTAGTATGTTTAGTAGTGTGTCATTGGTCATTGCATAAGTTGTGTACAATCGTAAGTGAATTGCACAACAAAAAGTAACTTGTGTATCTGTGATTATACCATATTAAATAAATATGTAACAGTAATTAGTAAGTAAAGTATAAAGCAAGTGAAGTCTTGATGAGGGATCAAAAAACTGAAATATTTAATTTCTGGTCAATTTCGTTCAAAAAACCTGCGTAGCTCTATAGCGACTGAAATGTAGACCAGCATTATGATTATGCAACGATGCTACATCCAACAGAACGGTGAGCCTGCGCCGCGTTGTTGAACGTTCGGCGTTTTATTAATAAAATGTTAGTGACGTGTATCGACGATGGCGACGCTCCGATCGGGGCTATTTATTGATGCGCGTGCGCGGCCTATCGATCTGCCCATTATAGTCTATCAATTGGCGGTATTACAGATTCGTCGCAGTTATGTCCAGGCGAGAATGGTTGCGAACATGTCAAATTACAACCTTGCAACACTCTCTATAGTACTGAGTACGCAGTTTACTACCGTCTAAAGGATTTTAGTTTTAAAGTTGTACTACTTAGTTTTATTCTATTTCTAAATCGAATAATTTTTTTTTAATAATTATGTTTCTAAACATATCCGTTTCATGGGTCTGTTGCCATAGGTATATTTTTACCTTTAGTTTCTTTAACGTTTTAAAATTCGACTCTGTTTTTACTTACTCGCCTTCTAACGCCAACCGTAAATAAATATGATTCTATCTTTTCTGGTGTAACGTCTCACCGGCAATGTGGTATTGATAAAACAAAGGAGAACAGATGCAGCTCGCCGGCTGGCGTAAATAAGCGGCTCTGCAGATTCCACCGGGAAGGTGTTGTTACCCCTTGAAAATACGCTATCAATAACTAACAAAATATTGACGCCAAATCATGATTGCAAATTACTTAGATTATCGATTTGTATGAAATATTCGATATTGCATTGTATTAAGAAAGAATTTGTATATTGTTCTGTTCAAAATCAGAATGATTGTATTTTAGAATAAATGTGAATTCTCAATAATCAATTTTATATAGGTACGTTTACTTTAACGACACGGTACAATAACCGTCTCGCGTTGAACGGGGTAGAGCCTCAAAGCTCCCATTTCGCCGTATCGGGTGGCGGAATGGTGTGGCGGCGGTGGCTGCGGGCGGTCCGTGACGTCGGCGGGGCGACGACGCGGGCGTGACGTCACGCGCACGTGGGCGGGTGCGAGCGAAATAACAACACAAGCACGGTACGGGAGCGAAGAGACCCAACTCGCCGCTGCAGAGAAGGCGCGCGCGAATTGACAGATTTCCACGCGCTCGATACGATCTTGAATTACATTATCAAGCGGCGCCGATTCCGGTTAACCGCCTTTTACAGCGATTGTATGGCAACTGCGCCGATTACCTTTTCTAACAAGTAGATTACCTCTATTGTCTTTGAGGACCTCGTGAAACGTAAAAATCCTTCAACTAGCGATCTAACAACCGGTTCAGGTACCCCGCTCGTTTGTAGGAGGCTGTTGTTTCTCGAGTACTTCGTTGCGGCGGATGTGTGGCGAATGGCGAATGTAGCCAAGTACCCGCATCGGTTAACCTCGCGGCCGCGGCCGGCGCGGGAAGCGGTTGTAAACAAAGCGCGCGCAGATATTTCGCGACGTTGCCGCCTCGACAACCCGCCTATGTAGCTGTCATTCTATGTTTACTAGCTTCTTCTACCGCTCAATTTTTTCAGCGCTATGCAACATGTCAATATTTTCATTCATACTCGATAGTACGGCCTTATTTAGTATTGTAAAGTTTAACCATCCACTCCTCAATTCGATTGTTTAATCTAAGAATTGAACACGGTAAATAAAAGTATCATCATCCATGATGTTTCGATGCAGTCTTACATATTGAAGCCAGAACTAATGTTTACACGTTTGAACCTAAACTGAATACACAAATATAAGCAGTTATAAAAGCCTCAAGTGCGCCGTACGATACTAACCGTTATAATTGTTTACCTTATTGCATAGTTGAGATAATTGAGCTATGATTCGATTGAAACGGGAAGGTAACGCATCTATTTCGTGGCCTAGTAATTTTATTTACAAACCGAATGAATCAAGTCCAAATATGTTTGGCGTCTAAGACGTGTACCGAGTGCACAGAAAGTTTACTGACAATATTCAAAACATTGCAAGTGTAAGCGAGAGGGGAACGATGTCGCAATCTCCTGCATCTCACGTGTCACAAAATAATGTTGTCGCGGTGTCTCCGTCGTCGCCAATAAATCTTCGCTCTATACCCAATCGTTAAATACCCATATTTACTGCCGACCCTAATCCGAACTTTATTTTTAAACCTCAACCGTCACTGTGCAGTTAAAATTGGAATTTAACCATTGCCTTGCTTTGCTGGTACGTTTCCTCAAGGTGGTTCGGTTGCCAGTTTAAGTTTCCCTGAGACTTATCATTATCACGCTATCTCGTTATCTCTGCGGCAATCATTAGCGGGTGCAAACAAACAATCCAGCTAAACACTGATAATCGAGTAGCGATTACAGAGCTCATATTGGCGTGGAGGCGTTTCGACGCGGCGGCGGCGGCGCGCGGCGTCTGCCCGCTATCGATCCCGGACGAGTGGTGCCAACCACCGCGACCAAATATAGGACCTTGAACCTTATACCTATCCTTGTAATTGCACTCGAGAATGCATCACCTGACACCCCAAATAACAAACTTGAAAACAACGTCATAACATCATTTACTGTTACAGATTATAACTCTGTAACCATGAAAAATTAATCGTGGTAAACGACTAAACCTCTCACCGTAATTGAAAGTTTAATTGAGAAAAAAATCTTCTTGCAAAATCGCAAACGCTAATCAGCGCAATGTCGAAACTTGCAAAACCGCAGAATCATCTTAACCCGGGCAATTTGATGCGACGTTGTTTTGGACAAATTACTATCTCAACATCCATTACCATTCCAGAAGAAGACTATATAGTTTACGAAATTCAAATACCATCGATCGATGCTAAAATCCTTGGCACTAGCGTGGGGCGAGTCGTGACTCGCGCTGGTATTACAGTATATCGGTATTCGGATACAGTAAGCGCACCGTTCGCTGTAGCGTTAACGGCCTTGGGACATGGAGAGTCGATGGTGCCGAACCGAGCAACTCAATATCATTCCGCTATAGACTCGAGTCTACAGCTCTCCGCCCACATTTCTATTGTCTTTGCTACGTCAGTTTTAATATCGCCTATATACGTGATAGCAAGCGTCTGTAAGTCTCAAACGGCGAAGAGTTCATGATTTTGCGAGGTTTGAGGTCTTGTTCAATAGGCCTTTTTTCCTGTAGTACCTCCTAAAAATCTTTTGCGTGAAAGTGATACCTTTTTAGGGTACAAAACGATCGAAAGCGGCGGCCTCGCCCCTCGTTACCCGCCATAGCCTGCAAACGAGCCAATCCAAGATTTTGGATGATTCATTTGTTAATGGTCGGGTTACTCAGCGGTACTTGACGCCCTTGACTTTATTCTCAACTTTTAGCCACCTCTAACCATTTCTGCCTTATCTCGCGATACTGAGATGTGTTTCATTGTAGCTGTTAGTCCAGAAGTTAAAAAAAATATTTGGTATCTTTATATCTGTTGGCCTTGGTACGTGAGTATGATGCGTTCTGTTATTATATGAACATTTTCGTAATCATACTTAGCACCACGAATAAAGCGTTCGACTGATAGCTTAACGTGAGATAAGCTACTGTACACGGAGAATACTTAATTAGAATCGTCATCTGTATCAGGTCGCGCTAGATACTGGAAAAACTAGTTTAGTCGAGGCCGGACGGGAGATGGCACGCGCACACCTGGAGCACGAATGTCAAGGCTGCACACTTGGAACTTTTCCAGCTACGCTGTGCAAGCGCAGAAAAAAAATTAGCAAAAAGAAATAATTCTACAAAGTTAAACCAGAAATTCCAGGCGCAAGGGTTCCGCGCTCGAACGATAAAGATACCTTGGCCAAAGTCATTATACTTTACTGTTATTGCTTGGGTTTATTCCGCAATCTGTAACCGATAACGCCCGCCCGCTGCGGCTCGTTCCATCGGCTATTCGACATGGAAGCAGGAAAATTCGCACCGTCTCGTCACCTCGTATTGCAACTATTACAAGAAATTCAATGTCAATTAATTATGTTAGCGGACGCTAAAGCGGGCTCACATGTGTGTTGTGTACGCCGCGCGCAACAAACACAAGCACGTGCGAGCGAGCGGTCGTCGCATGACGTCACTCAGGTCGCCCCCGCCCCGCCCCTTTGTTAGACAAAGACAACACAACCGTGCAGAGCGGCAACGTCGCCCGCGCCGTTTTGTTTTCGCCTATAAAGCCGGTGATAGGCAGAGTTTATCTTCCGATTGCAAGTGCAGCTCACACTGCAACAGCTCTTTCTAGCTCTTCACCACTGCAGTAAAATTTTATCGCTCTATAATCGATGTTTCGCTATTGTGAAGAGTGTCAATGTCACCTCTCGGCCTTGATAGAGTTGTGGTGATAACACGCTCGACTCATGATTTTATAGCAAACGATATGTCGACTAGGAATGCGGTGTCGCAACTGAACTAATTCTAGACGCTAGGTATATCGAATACGTTCAAGATAGGGCAAAGTCAAGGCCCACGCGGTGCATTGCGATGACTCTTGTTGTATATAGAACTTGAAATGAACCACATTCTTCTTTTTGTTTACAGAAGGCGACCAAGGATCATGGGAGAGTGGCCTGTCCTACGAATGCCGCTCATTGCTATTCAAGGCACTGCATAACCTCATCGAAAGGTAATTACGGCAATTTAATACGGAACATTCAAACCATACTAGAGTGATCATAATATAGTACAATGATAGACAAATAAAAATGTATACACTAAAATCAACTATAAGTAATAATGAACTAAGTATAATTTCAAACGGCTTGCATAATAATAATGTTATGCCAGAATCCCGTTAAGAGCAATAATAATAACGCACACATTCAACATAGCCCCGCACTAGGGAAATCCCGTGTCGCGGGTGCCATGGACACACACATAGACAATCGCAAATTACACCCAAACTCACGAGAGAAATAAATGTAGGCCATACAAATACTTCTCCCGGTCCGGGAATCGAACCTGAGACCTCTGCGTGGCAGGCAATGATAACCGTTCGGCCACGGAGGCAGTAGATATGTGATCGTCAGGTTATGTATGTGTCTGAGCAAATTGGTCAATTGCTCAATGTACTCTGCCAATTTTGGTCAAATATTAATGAGAATCACGCATGTCACATTTACTTTTCTATAAAACTACACTCTGTTCCTGCATTGCAGACTTATAGTTTAGGGCTAAGGTACAGAATGTTAAAAACACTAGATAAATAAATTGCTAACAATAAACACACCATTTTCAATTTTATTAAAAGCTTCAATGATTATAAGTTTTAAACAGTATTTTCATAGTGATAACTCATATCGTTATGTAAATAATATGTTCTAGTAATCACAATTATTTCATCTGAATATATTACGTTATATTTGACCATTGTGCTCGAGCATTTCTAGCATTTGACGGGTCAATTTACAAGAGAGACGCCACTTGTTATCTCAGACAACGGGTTCTAGAAGGATATTCAGGAGAAATTACTATGATACAGAAGGAATATTTGTGTGTCCGCGTGTGTGTGAAGGAGTGTGTAAGGGAGCTAGCTATAGCTAGTTAAACGAAACGACAATATGTAATTAGAAGTGAGAAGACAGTATTTTGTCTAATACGACGAGCATAAACAAAAGAGTATACAATATTCTAAAAATAGTGTTATTGCGTTTTGTAACAAATAGAAACTATACGAGTAATATGTTCAATCGACCGTGTTAACGGCGCACACGCCGCTCCTTCGTTCAGCTAACACAATTTGATCTAACGCTTCTTTAATGTAATACACCTTACAACTTTGGTTATACTTAATTATAGGTAATGAAATTATTTACGAATCTACTTCGCGTATTTTTTTTTCAAACATACCAACGTTTCGGGCCCTTTGATCACGGTCGCTCACGGGTGACTGAGATGTCATCAACCAGTTATGTCAATCACCCTATTTTTCATTTCATAAATAACATAATAATCAACAAAAAGTTAGGTTACATCCGAAAAAATACAGTCGTCGATAGTGTCTAGAGATCATGTACGTTTTTAGTACTTAAGTACTGAAAATCAGGTTTACTTAATGAATTTTTTTTAACACCAATGGATTTTGTTCCGTTAATGTCATTTTCAAGTTTCAAAAAATCCATTGATGTTAAAAAAATTTCATAAAAAATCTAGATTTTCGATAAAAACGTGCTTGATCCCTAGTCACTTTTGATGAGTGTATTTTAGTTTTCTATGTAATATATAAATCTCGGTATAATTAATTTATTATCTCAATATAATTATATTACTTACGGTCTCGATCGCCTAACGTTTGCTCTGTGGACGCTGGATGAGGAGGTCCGAGTTGTAATTGTTTATTTACAAAGAACTACTCTTTTCTTGCCAATTCTTTTCAACATTTTTTTTATGTTACCAATTGACGGGACGAACAAGTCCTGCGCCTGGTGATAAGTGACACGCCTATCCATAACAGTTGCAGTGCCACTTAGAGCTTTAAATCGTAAATATTTGAGAGGCACTGCCATTGGGCCTATCACCCGGAGACATAAGTTGTCAAATCCCATACAAACCGGAACGCGGTAATGCCAACTTTTCTGCCTGGCGGCAGAAACAGGTAAGTTGGCAATACTTCTCTGGACGTAATTTTTCACAAGAAGCTCTACTGCTACAAAATTCTTTGAACGGACACGACTTTGATAACGAAGAGACTATCAAACGACGCTTAGAGCTATATTTTATAAAACTAAAGACGTTTTTACGAAGGGGAAATTCGAAAATTACCCGAAAGATATCAAAAGATTGTAAAATCTTCAAGGCCAAATACATAATTTGATTAGTTAGATTTTTTATCTCACCCATCTTAAGAAGGAACTAATTAACATTCAGAACATTTTCTAAAAAGGTCTTATTCTTATCCATAGTGAAGACTGCTTCACTTCGAAACGCTCTGAAGTACATCACAACAATGAAAAACATTTATCTTACTTTTGTTATCTTATCTACGTACTTAACATTTGCCATATATTTTACAAGTTTCTTCTATTTTATCTTTTAACGTTTGGAAATTTTAAAAACTCTCTTAGTTATTCGTTATTTTAATGTGCCAGAAAACCACACTAATTAACCTGATCTCCAAACTAGAAAATTCCGTGCGTAACCAATTTCAAAAAGTACCGAGATTCAGTTGTACGTTTTAAAGAATATTTATTGCACGTTAACAGGTAATAAACGAATTAATATTAACCATGCTTCCAAAAAACTATTTTTTGGGACATGGTGTAGGCATTGTTGAATATAACACAATATAGAAGATTCCATTTGTGATTTAATGCACAGACGGAATCTTAAAAAAAGATTGTAGAATAATTATATAGTAGAGCTCCTTGGAAACGAGTTCGCCCAGGGAAGTACTGCCACCTTTACCAATTTGTGTCGCCAAGCAGTAACGACCATTACTGGGTTTCAGTTTTGAAGCGTAAGGGAGGGAGGAACAGGCACATGGGGCTTGTCAACTTATGTCTCCAGGTGACGGGCGCAGTGGTAGTGCCCCTCAGATCTTTACGATTCAAAACTCGTAGCGGCACTGCAACTGTTATGGACAACCGTGTCGATTACCACCAGGCTCACGACTTGTTCGTCCAGTCACTTGGTATCATAAAAAAAAACAACCTGTATATTATAGGATAAGATACCTATTGTCTTGTCTCTTGTGAAGCAATCAAAAAGATAGTAAACCATATCAATAAAAATAGTAGCAGATAAACTAGCAATATTTGTGTTGTATCGCGCCAAAAGATTGCACCTGGCTGCGCGGACGCACCGCACAGTCATTGTTTGCCGAAGGTCGTTGCATTCGGTCGGGGCGTTCTAATGTCGTTTTTTACCGCACCGCCTCGGGCTGGGCTTGCTCCTTGATTCTCGTAACTGCTAAATATTGCTCATTATACTGACTGATCTGTCTGCTAAATTACAAGTAATAACTAATGTACTACCAGTTTGGGATTCAGTATCTCTTTTGATGATAATAATAATAACGCACACACTCAACATAGCCTAGCACCAGGCAAACCCTGCGTTGCGGGTGCCATGGACACACACATAGACAACCACAAATTACACCCAAACTTAGAAGAGAAATAAATGTAGGCCATACAAATATTTCTCCCGGCCCGGGAATCGAACCGACCTCTGCGTGGCAGTCCAGCATGGTTCGGCCACGGAGGTAGTTGATGAAAATTGCTACACAAGACTGCAGTACTAATTAATGTTTTAATTCATTCTAATTACCATTATTACTTCTATTTTTATTATTATTAATAGTTTTGGCTTGGATACAAGTCCTTTGAGTAATATTTTCCATTGTATTTCCAATACATTATGTTTTCACTTTCACTTAAATCACATTATTATCGCTTTGAACAACAACTTTGAATTCGTAATTAGTGGAATTTTCAGGATAAAGTGAAATTAAATTTCAGATAAATCTTTGTAATTTGGTTTAAAATAAAGTATATAGTTCTAACTTTCTTCATAGTTATTTTTTTCTTCGTTTTTTCTTCTTCTTCTTTTGTAAAAACTGTACTTTGTAATTTCAAAAACCCGCAGTTTTTCCGTTATTACTTAATAATAAAAAGTAATAAGATATTTAATTAATAACTTTTGTAACAATTACTGCGTCTTAGTTTTGAAGGGTAAGGGTGCTGGTGAAATTACAGGCCCATGGTAGTTGTGAACTTATATCTCAGGGTGACGAGGGCAGTGGCAGCGCCCCCCAGGTCTTTGCGTTTTGAAGCTCTGAGTGGCATTGCAACTGTTATGGACAACCGTGTCGCTTAGCACCAGGGATCCTAAAGTATTTGGCAAATTTTAAATAAAAATTACAAAGGATAACAAACATCTCAAATCACTAAAGTTATGAAGGACCTTATGCCTTAGAGATAGAAACGCGATAAATAAAGATAACAGCAGTGGGAGTATGCACCGAGCAGGCCGAGAGAATCTCGGATATGGACGAAATCCACGCGAGTCGTTGACCTGCGTACCGTCAAAGCAACAATGCTTCGTCGCGACCGTTTTACGATATACAATAATAATCAAGATTATACAGCTAAAGATTGCAATGTGGAGCTTTTGTCTTGTTCAAAATACTTATGTTGGCTAGACTTTTGGCCTAGTGTTTAAAGATATTAAGTTTATAAACACTGGAACTGTATTGGATAATATAACAAATTTATTAATGTAACAAAATGAAATCACCTCTTTGTTGTATTCTACCAATCTTACTGCCTCAGTGGCTGAACGGTTACATGTCGCAACTACCACACGGACGTCCCTAGTGCGGGGGCTATGTTGTGTGTGTGTGCGTTAAAAAAACATATTTGATAAGTTTGTTTTAATAGACTTAGTTATTGTTAGTTTGAGGCAACACACTTGACGGACGTAAGACCTAGCTACCCGTAGTACAGTGGATACTGCTTTGACAGCTAGGCACATCTCTGTACTTATTTCTCTGTTTTTTTTTTGCATTAAAATTATAAGCAGTGATAGGGAAAAAGGGAAAGAAAAGCCCTCTTGGGTCGTAAAGAAAGTATTTTGTTAGTGTTTTACAATGACTATTAAAAACGTCAAAAAGAATACAAAATTAAA